AAAGAGTGGATGGGAGCTGGAGACAAAGAATGCCTGCTACATTAGGATAACTTGTAGTCTCCTCTAACTTCTACAAAAATAAGCCCTTTTGATACTTGATTAGTAGTAACAAATTTCTTGGAACACACCTCGTAGCAGACATTATGATTTGAAGCCATCACTCTGGAATCTAGTAGGAGGCCCTCGAGCGCCCTGAGCGGGGTCGGTCAGTGTGTAAGGAGCTTAGATGTGTTCCATGACTGGGCCTGATAGTAACGAGTCCTCTTGGGGGGCCAAGGTGGGGGACCTGCAACGCAAGAGGGTATTCAGCTGAGAGTAGCTATTGAAGTCCTCGGAGCTCTGAGGAGGGTGGGATACTTGCATGATATGAGTGAGAAACAGCGAGCCCCACCCAACAAGTGGCTTTTTGTGAGCAGGGACCATCATCGCAACCCCAGCCCAGGGCTTGGCCAAGAGTGTGTCCTCAATAAATGCTGAATGGCTGAGTAATTAAACCATAAGAAAGCCAGTGACAACACTATGGGTGGAAAGGGTAAATGGTACTCTTTTTTTCAGCTTTATTGAGGCATAATTGACAAAATTGTAAGATATTTAAAGTGGGCATTGTGGTGATTTGATATAAGTATACATTGTCAAAGGATTCCCACCATCTGGTTAATACATCCATCACCTCATATTCACCTTTTGTGTGTATGTCTGTGTGATGAGAACTTTAAGTTCTACTCTCAGCAAATTTAGATTATGTAATGCAGTGTTGTCAACTTAGTCACCATGGTTTACATTAAATTGTCAGATATTACTCGTACCTGAAAGTCTGTATGTTTATGCCAACCTCTCCCACCCTCCAGCCCTTGAAAACCATTTTTCTATGAGTTTGACTTTTTCCTTTTTTAAAAAAATTCCACATATGATACATGCAGTGTTTGTCTTTGTTTGGCTTATTTCACTTAGCATAATGCCCTCAAGGTCTATCTACATTGTTGCAAATGGCAGGATTTCTTCTTTTCTCGTGGCTGAATAATATTCCATCATTTAAATATATATATTGCAACTTCTTTATCCATTCAGGGCAAATGGTACTTTGAAAGTACCATTGCACATTGTTTTCCAGATACTTGTGATGTCCTGCCCACAACTGGACACTTTTTGCCCTTCTAGCCATCTTGCCCCCATTACCATTTACCTGAGAATAGCAGTACATGCCAACAGTAGATACCTAACTATTTATCAATTTACGTGGAAAACTAACACCAGAAAATAAGAAAGCCAAGCGTTTTATTTTTTTAAATTAATTAATTAATTAATTTTTGGCTGAGTTGGATCTTCATTGCTGCACGCGGGCTTTCTCTCGTTGTGGCGAGCAGGGGCTACTCTTCATTGCAGTGTGCAGGCTTCTTATTGTGGTGGCTTCTCTTTGCGGAGCATGGGCTCTAGGCACGTGGGCTCAGTAGTTTGGGCACACGGGCTCTAGAGCGCGGGCTCAGTATTTGTGGCGCACGGGCTTAGTTGCTCCGCGGCATATGGGATCTTCCCGGACCAGGGCTCAAACCAGTGTACCCTGCATCGGCAGGCGGATTCTTAACCACTGCGCCACGAGGGAAGTCCGCCAAGTGTTTTAATTCCTTTTAGATCCGTTGCTCAATTTTAATACCTCGAGCGCGTAGGTTCTTATTTTCTTGGCTGCTTCTGGAAGTTTACTGGATGTGGAAGTAGCATCCGCCCCAGCGCAGGTTCCGACACTGACTACAGCAGAGGCATCTTTTTCTTGGCAGTCATCCTACCCACCTACAGCGCTATGGGCATCTGGGCTCTAGGTGTTGACAGGACCCCCGGAGTTGCCCTTTGTGGGTTGGAAGACTGACCACAGAGTCTGGAGATGTGGTCAAGTCAGATAAACCTGGATACAAATCGCAGCTGTGCCACGGGCCAGCTGGGCAAATTACTTATGCCCTAAGGTCAGCCTGTAAGGGTTGGAAAGCTTTCTTTAAGAAGCCCAGGACGGAGCCAGGAATGTTGCAGACACATCACAGACCCCCGGTTCAGAAGTCACAGAGAGGGAGGCAGTACTGGGAGGCCTGTTCAGTTTGCTCTGGTCACTTACTCATCTTATTTCAACTATCCCCACTCTTTCTCCCCA